TCTCCTCAATCATGGTAAATTTTATGATCTCTGTCTTTTCATTTTAACTGGCATGACATGACCATAGTTGATTACCGTTGCATGTGACGGACCGCATAGTGCATGCTTTTTTCATTCCGTACAGAAACCGGGCTCTCTGGCTAGATAACTCATGAACAGTGGGCCACACCTGAATTAAAATGGCCAAAAATTAACTCTCATTATCAAGGACGGATTTGGGGGTTGGGGGGCAGGGCTATAGTTCCCCCAGGCCCAACAACTTTTTTTTAAAGGTATTTTTTATTTTTTGGGTAAAAAATCAGTTTTTTATGTGTAAGTTTTTTTTCCACATAGTAGCTCAATTTGAAATTTTATAGTCAAGCCTTAAATTCAATCTTGAATCTACCTCTGCTCATTATGTGTTATCTGTAGAGCCCATGCGCATAGCATGGCTCGTGCATGTTTAAGAAACAGGAGGCTGAAGCCCCTTGTATTCACAGAGTTCTACCTAAGAACTCACATGAATGCCCCATGTGGTGACAAGAAATTGGCAAAAAATTCACCCACAACCCACCCTTGCTGTGAGATTTCTAGAGCACTTCTGTGAAAAAATTTCCGTAGATCTAGCTCGAAACAGAAATAATGTTGTCAGATTCAACAATATTATCTTATTTTTCTTGTTCGATACTTTCCATAACATTCTGTTTCCAGGCGTATAAAAAACGTGAGGTATATATAACGATCAAGAAGTGATTTTGTTCAAGCAGGTTTCCGAGAAGAAAGGAGCAAAGAAATGGAAGAGGGTGGAAGTAAATCTAAAAGATCATGTAAAAGTGCCTGTTTTCCCCATTGGGATGTCAAATGATTATTATGATGAGGCTTTCAGTGAGTATTTATCAAAACTTGGAATGGAACAATTTCCTCCAAATAGACCTTTGTGGGAAATTCATATATTCAAGTACCCAACAAAAAATGCAGCTGGAAATTTGATATTCAAGCTTCACCATTCACTTGGAGATGGCTATTCTTTAATGGGAGCCCTTCTCTCCTGTCTACAAAGAGTCGATAATCCTTCTTTCCCGTTGACATTCCCTACGCGCCAGTCTAACTTGGGGCCTAATGGTAACAGCCGTGGCTTTTTCCGGCGTGTGCCTCGGTTTTTTACAGGGTTAATTAACACTGTGTATGATTTCGGATCGAACGTCTTAAAGAGCAGTTTGATTGAGGATGACAAATCGCCAATTAGATCAGGGGATGATGGAGTGGAGTTTCGACCAATTGTTGTAACTACTACTACATTTTCCATTGATCACATCAAGCAAATCAAGGACAAGCTTAAAGTGGTAAAATCTTCTCTTTTCTTATGCCTGAATCATCGTAGAATGTTTGGAAAATATTATTAACTTTTCCCGTTTGGTTCAATTAGCAAAGTTGATCAAAATATAAGTTAATCACATATCTAATATTCAATCACATATTACATCAATCAAAATTAACTAAAAATCTAATTTTTATCTAAATCAAATGGGGCATATGCTTGATGTAACGGACTTGATGGAGAAACGCATATGGAAGAGTTAATTGTTTCAATGGTCATTGAACTTAGGTTCATGTCTTTGATTAATTATTAAAATTTAAAATGTCGAGTTTTGATCACTGAATTTAGGTCCATGTCTTCGATTGCTCAATAAAGTTTAAAATGTCGAGTTGTGACTACTAAATTTTGAAAAATGTTGTACATTACTCATTGTGAATTCGATATTTTAAAAATTCAACAGTTATGCTAGTGAGTAACATACGACATATTCTAAAGTTCATTGGTCAAAACTCAATATTTTAAATTTCAGTGAGCAATCTAAGATATGGACCTAAGTTCAGTGAGCAATCGAAGACATTGACATAAATTTAGTGACTAATCAAAGACATGAATTTAAGTTCAGTGACTATTGGAACAATTATACTAGGCCTCAACACATAATTATGTACTAAAATTTCTTAGTTTTTGTTGGCATGCTAGGAATAGGCTCGACCGTCCAAAAATCGAGTAGGCATATTTTTTAGAATTATGCTGAGAGCCCAATCACACGAGTGGATCCCGTAATTATTTTGATCTGGGACCCGCTAGTGTGATGTGAGAAGGCTGTCAAATATAATGTAAAAATGAGTGTACTTGTAGCATACTAAGGGTCTGAAATAAGCTAGATGGACCCAACCCTACACATCTATAGGAAGTATCTAAGGATGGTGATCCCATGGTAAAAAAAATTTCATATCTAGTTTTTAGTTATATATTCTGAAGAACTTTTCTAAATATTCCCCGGTTGCTATTCAACTGACTGAAGTATTATCTCATTCATCGTCTTAAAAAGTTAATAAACTGGATGAACTTAATAATATGTTGTAAAATTCATCATACTATTAACTGTATCATCTAGTCCGTTAACTTTTAAACGGCAAGTGAGGGAATGACTAGTCACATAACATGTTGATAAGTTTAT